TTATGTCGCGCCAACTTGGAGTCATAAACTTGAAAACATTAGCCTAATGTTTTCAAGTTTACTCGCGCATGCGTGCCATTGACAGTGTCCCTTTAAATAAGTACACGCTTCTCAAAACAAGAACAGTGTGAAGTACTTATAATAACAAGCTTTAAAGAGCTGGCTTTTTCAACAGGCATATTTCCTTTTTATAGTATTTTATAAGATATAAATTTAAGWTTTGTTTGTTTTTGAATATTCTAAGTATGTATATGTTGAAATGTTAAAAAAGTATTGTAAAAAAGTATTAGTATTGACGTCAATGACATTATTATTGTTAAATTGTTTAGCTCTTTACAAGTTTTATTGTTATTTAAATCTTATTGTAAAGCGCATATGAACCTATGATCTCATGTATCTGAAAATCTTATCACTTTATTTGAAAATTTATAAATCAGTGCTCTTACAMACATAAACACATTAATACAACATATAAAGGAAAGAATGCCAAAATTGACGAGGTCTGAGCTCTCCAATTAAAATGTCATCGGCGCATCGTTTGAACTACCACTTGCTCATTTTTAGACAAAACAAATACTTTAAGCACGAATCCTTTGTGAAGTTTTCTCGCATAATAGTTGATATAATGCCTTACTTCCTCCAAGGAAAATAAACCTTTTATTCGTAGCCAGCCAATCACAATGACTTATATTTACTTCTCCTAATTATATTTTCTTTGCATTTCTGTGAAGTCTCAGGCCATTTCCTTCAATTTTGAGTGATTTATGCCTGTGGTTTTGATTATTACACGTTCCCTGCTATGCAGGGGACGTGTAGTAAAATGCTGCTACTTTCTTGTTTTTTTGTTTTTTTTTTCGTCAGTTTTTTTTCACAATGTCGAAAGTTTGGCTTCGGTACATCTTCGTAGCCAATCACAATGTGAATTATATATCCGGTAGCCAATCACATTACGTTGTGTATTCCGAATGCTATAGCCTGTCCATAATCCCTTTCGCTCCATTTTCAACTCGTTCTTCACAGTGTTTCGTCCGCCATTTTGATGAATATTGTCATGGGACAGAACATTAAGGTTTACGACCAAAATCTGGCACTCATTACTTGTCTGGGTGTTCGGACCAAGGGTATATTGAATTATGATGACGAGGAGATCTTAAATACAGAGATCAACACGCTTAGTACTCGTGAAGCAAGGGCAACGATTATAATGATTGAATATCAACTCTTTAGAAAATGCTTATTAATTTCATGGCTATTCAAACATCTGCAATGGATCATGTCGAGTTTTAATGTAGATGTGCAAATATATTGTGTTACCATCATAACAAAAAGTTAATAAAGCGTCACGATGTAACCAAATCATGCCTAGTTATATATCTCCGGGTATATCTGACCTTAAAATTATACTGCAGAATCACAAAGGCGGTTACAGCTGAAATTTTAAGAGCCACCACATATAAGCTTATCGCCAAAATCACGTATATCTTGGCAAGGCTCGAAGGATCAAATCATTTCTTTATTTTGTATCATTAAAGTGCAACTGAACACTACTTGAAAGTCATTTCATTCGAAACAGAACATGCTGCTAAGCACTTCTGCAAAGGGAAAAAACTTTCAAATTTATATCTTCTGATTTAGAAATATTTGAAAATCAGAAATGCAAATTAAGTGACGTCTACTAAGGAATGATTTAATATGCAAAATCACGAAAAAAATACATTACTCTTTTTTTATATCGGAGATGACATTTCCAGTTCTTGAATATCACTGTTATTAATGATTTGACCATTTAAACCAAACACAAGATATCGCAAACAATGAAAAACCTCCAGCCCAATCCCTTGATTGACGTCATTTCATTAGCATTTTCAATTTTCAAATACCTTTAAATCAGAAAATAACATTCAAACAACTTTTATTTCTTCACGACAATGATTAACATCGTATTTGCCTTTTTTTAAATGATTTTCTAAAAGGGTTCAGTTGCACTTTAAGGTTTAAGGCCTCATTTACTAATGATCTCACAACATCATGCACAACAAAGGGTACGTGTCACCCTGCATACAGGGTCTAGTTTATGAAGGCTATTGCCATAAAAKCTATTGTTGAAGAGTACCAGGGTTTCGGAGAGCAAAATCCGAGATATCTTTTTTAAAGCCGCTTTTTGCTTTTCTAATGAACGATAAACCTACATATTCTTTTAAATAATGCCATATTTGTGCTCTTTTTCGTCCTCTTCATTTATAATATATCAAAAGATCTAATCTAAGCAAATGTCACCCAATGTATGGCAATAAGTTTGATATGTTTTCTGAGATTGCGGTTTGCCTTCAAACACACCAGATTCCGTCAAAGCGATTACATGAAATCGACCCTGCCCGGTTTGCCGGGATCCAAGGAAATCCACAGTTGGGATGCCGGCAAACTGAGATGAGAAATTGYCATGTAATCTATGCGGGCACTRAGAGTGCTGACCAGGCTTGAAGTGCCGTAGGCGAGCTRTAAGTGTTCGGCTATTTTGCAAAGCTTACACATGAACAGTTTGAGTTTTAAAATTGCGGCTAATGATGGGAACACTGTTAAAACTCTAAATTTCATTAAATCGGGTTTCCGAGATTAGATTGGGTTCCTGTGTTTTGAAGCAATAAAATTTTCCCGCCAGTCATTAGCGCCAAAAGATAATTAATTCAGCTTGGGTGTCCCATCTCRTATAATCGCGAAAGCAGAGGAACGAATATATATTCATATAGTCAGCTCCTTATATTAATGAGAGGCGCTCATTTGTTAATACAATCTTACATGAATGAAAACGTTAAATTGACCAACTCACCATAGACAACCCAATGGGCACTGCTCTTGTTCATTCCAACTGAAAGTATTGTTTTACAAGGGTTTTTCATTAAATAATGGACACTGATTGTTTCATTCTATTGTATCTTTGGATGCTCTATTGTATTAGTTTTAAATATTCTGATTATTTGGTGGACTTTATCAGTCTAGGCAAAGTATGATATCGAATAATGACCATAACATTGCGTTATCTTCAAGTGAAGTGGCCATTATATTTCTAGAATCTTGGAATCTATTTTTGGTTCGTCAATATTAATATTTTTGTCATGTTGTTGACCTATGTTATAGACCATTTCGCGCCGAATGTTTTCGTTGCTCACATGGTAAATAAATTCACGCGGGACAGGGAAATTAATCGGTGTTGTCAACTGTGGCCCGGACTGTGGCGTGGCAAGGGTACAGTTTTGGGGTCTGCTATCACAGAGCTTTTTTAATCAGCGAATAATAAATGTTCGTCCATAGTATACTAGTATGCACAATGAAGCTAGGCAATAGATCATGTGCGAAGCATGTGTTTTGTGAAGCATCAAAAATTTCTAAAACTCGAGAAACTCCTTTCAGTTTAGCTAGTCTCATGATTTAAAGGCCCATCTCCAAACAGCATTCCTTAAGCTTTCAAGCTTTTTTAAAAAAAAAGGATATATTTTGAAGAATATAGGTTTTTTCAWTAGTCTCTAAAACATAACCAAAAGCTTATAATAAGGCGCGCGATGCTGGCTAGCGATGGACCTTARAATCAGGAGATTTGATTTAAGGAAGAGTTCGATCGGTTTTCTATGCATAATCTTCCATATAACGTGATTTTCATGATTCATTATAAACTACCATCGATCACTATTTTTCAACATACTCGCTTTTTAACCTGATAATATTATATTTAGGCTGAATTTTCTGCATTTTTGAATAACTTGTACATAATTAATTTTTTTCGTTATTGTCTCTCTAAGTTTCAAATGTGACTATCATTATAGTCAGAGTTTAATCAGTTCAACCTGACTAACATCCCAGTTGCAGGTTGATAGCTATCAACGCGGCTTATAAATTGAATTGATAGACTGTAGTATTCAATTCAATTCAATATAAATCATTTAATATTACTGTTTTTCTTACCAGAAAAACAGAACCACATTTTAGAGCCGATTTGCGCAAAAAMCAGACCCAAAATTGAAAATTTGTGGCACGGCTCAAAAAGTCAAATCTATTCATATTTTTTATATCGATAAGGCATGATGGTTATAAGTAATTATCGCTATGTAATTGGTTTTTGAAAATGTTTTATTTTTCACAAGAAAATCGCTAAACAATGTCCCATAGTGGGCCTTYACGCACACAAAATGGCTAACTTTCTACCGATCACGTGTAAAAAGTAAAATAGTTATATTTAATGTAAATTGCGTCTTCGAAGTAAATCTTTCTTATTTATTTCATTGATTTTCATGCAATTTGATTATAAAGAAAGTTTTCAGGAACTTGAAGTGTATATATATGTAGTTATGTAAATTATATAGCACCTTCAAAAAACGATCGATTTTTTTATGTGCAAGTATTTAACAAGAAATGAGCTTTTCAAATAAAAAAAATTAGTCTGGGGAAATCTCTCTCTTAAAAGAACCTAGCAAGGCTGAATTCAAGTGAAGCACCATTTTACGCTGATTAATTTGAAAATCTAGGTTCTTGATAACGAAAGAAATATTGGCTRTAACTAGAACAGGCAATGCGGGACAACACGGTGTGGTGCTCTGTTGAATTGAAGATCTTGGCAAGACCACTCAAAGTACGAGACACAAGCTACCTCATTCTCGAAATATTTTCTCAAACTCTGTTCTTCCTAAATAGGCAAAATGACGTATTTGACATATTTGAATACATTTTATTTTCAGGGACAAAAAGGAGAAAGTTGTATTGGGAGTAACTCTGGTTTTGCCAGCGCTCCAAYAGGACCATGTATACCTAGTCTTGAAGGGGTTATCAAATATGACCGATCGTCAGGTTTTGTTCAGATTTGCACTGKCGGTCAGTGGCAAAGACTTCAAGGTTTACCCACAAAACAAATGAACAACATCCCCAGAAAGAGTTGTCTGGATGTGTTATTTCATGGTGAGGGTCGTRGTGACGGGATGTACTGGATTAACCCAACTGGTGGTGATCGAAATAAACACTCATTCCGTGCTTACTGTGATATGAGCACCGCTGGAGGAGGATGGACACTTGTGGCCAAAATCACCGACGACTACAGCTGGGTGTGTCCCAACCGTGGTGGCTCGATTTGTCTGAAATCTMATTCTGATCCAAATCACGGAAATTTATTTCACCGCGTCCATCAGCGGGATAGCGTTGATTTATCCRTTACYCATGACATCGATGCAGGCGTGCATATCAACAACTCCATAATACGACAGTTGTTTTCCAGTGGCCGCCAGTCAATTCGCTTTTCGTTTGTGACAGATWATGATGGGTGGAGCCCGTCTGAAGATGCTTACGCCGTCTTTCATCCTGGAAAATCCAACTCCTTGTTTGTGGACGGTTCGTGGGCTGCTTACAATCGCAGTAATATGGACTACACTTGGAATATCATCAAACACAACAGAAGAGATCATAAGTTCCAAGGGGAGTTCATTTGCTGGGGGAATGACGTCAAGATATCCTACAGATACTACGACCATGGCCTACATGTGGGATCYCCTGCCAATGGTGTCAAACCGTGTCTTCTTGACAGCAATGAAAATGAAGTCATGTTAAAAAGTCATTACGCTTTGATCCAGGACTCTCGGGCAAGATGGGACATGGCCCAGTTTGGTTTCCTTGGTGCCCGGTATGTTCAAGCGAAAAATAAGCGAATTGCACTATGGGTACGGTAAAGAWCAYGTGTGTTACGGATCGTCTTGTGTGGCCCTGAAGTACTAGAATACTAGAATTCTTTGCAGCATCTCATAATTTAATAATGAAATGACACACCATATTCTAGCACTTCTTTAACCATGTTCACAACCTGCGAAACTGTCTTCCAGCAGCTTTGTAATTTGTCTTCTCTGACAATGTTTCTGCACAACGGCACTTGTAAAATCTAATTTAGTCACTATATGAATCACTGTTTATCACATTGAGAGGTCCCATTCCAAAGATAAGTCATTGTGCACATTTTAACTTTGAGGATGTTGATATTTTTTCACAGTGTGATTCCGACAAAATACCTTTAGAACATACATGCAGTGGGTCGCGCACAARTGCATTATGTATATATAACCAGAACTTGTAGAAAACCACAATGCACAAGCCAAAATAACAAGACAAAACATCAATTTGCTGTTGTTAGCCTCGATTCACTACTCAAAATCGTTATAACGTTATAAATTTCTTTTCTGACTTTTAATGTTAAAGTTGTTTCGGTCAAATGATGGACAAGTTAGTTACCCGCAATTGTCATTGGTTGGTTGTAAGGTAAATTGTGTCYAATAAAGTTTCTAGGATTTCAAAGGTGTAACATGGATAGGCTGCAAAGCGATAACTTTATAGAATTAAAGGCGCTGAATCAGCGCATGTGCCTACTACGATTGTATGCAGATTGTAAATATGGTGCTCTATGGAACACAAATATTTAGCCTCACACAGCCTTTATTTTGGTACTGTACTGTTGATGWGCCGAGATGAAAACAACAACAACAACAAAAAATAAAAGAAAGTGCAGAATATCGTCATGTATTTTTATTAATAACAATACTAAGGCACTTTTTATTGGATACAAAGTAATAAAGTGCGAACAATATCTCCATGAAATACATGAAATAAGATCTAAAATAATAGTTTAAGTCACCATTTTGGACAATGGAAGTTCTAACTAGRCATTGTTTGATCTTGTTTCTTTAATAGAATACATTCATCAGAGKTTTGTTTGTGTTTTGTTTGTTCATGCGTGAAGTTTGAGAACCAGTATTTGGTTGAGCTTTATCTGACTGTTAGGAGCAATTTCTTCTGAAAGAAAGAMCTAAAACTTTTGAATACTAAWAGAACTTTTCATTACACCGAATATTGGGATAGGAAAGCTTTGACAAAGAAGAACTAAGGCAAAATATACTCACAAAAGCAAACGTACCTCGCAAACGTTTACGGCAGTGAATTACCACGAGAAATTTTCACGAACTGTTCGTAAAATCGCAGAGATGATTGAATTTTCGGCGTTCATTCGCACTAAGTTATATGTTCTGCCGATCGCTTCCGTGGGCTTCCTGTGTTTATGGGTCTTCCGAGGGGGTATTGATTGAATTTTGACGTCATTCTATTGTTACTTACTCATTTGCATTAAACACGATAGCAAAGTGTCTACTACTTCGTAGTAGGCACAAAAATTCATTGGGTGGAATTCTAAGAGGTTATTAACCGAAGGCGAGGTTAATAACTCGTATATTATTATGGCTTCTTTTGAGCTTTTACAACTTCATTGAGTTTTTCTTCCAATATGATCCTTTTTGGGCTATCTTTAAATTGTGGTGAATACTTATCGAGTATTTCTAAGCTGGATTGATGCCGTTGGCATTGAAAACAACGTGTACGGTCAACTCGGAAAAGAGCGGGAAAGTCAAGTGCTAAGACACGAGCGCGGACAAAAAGGCGGGAGTAGTTTAAAATGAACCATCTTTCTTTCAGATCATTAAAAAAATGGATTTTGTTTGAATTTTTTTATTGCAAAGAAAGTCTCAAATCTGATAAACAAAGTTKTCTTGATTCCCTCGATCCAACTTACTGCACGACCATTAAATTAGCAATTTCCGGTCCGGATACGAAAAAAGACGGACCCGCGGTCTTGATACGCGATTTCACGGACCAGTTTTCAGCCAATCAGAGCGCGCTTACTATCCAAGTCATATAATAATATCTTTTATGGAACCATTGATTGATTGACCATTTCAAATATAAAGTGATTGTTTCAGTTTCTGTTATGTATATTTTGCGTTAGTGGAAAACACCATGTTAATCAAGATTTATTATCACCCTGATAACATCAATATCCTTACGGAAAATAGCTACACAAATTTCTTCGTTATCGAGACGGATTTTTTTGACTGGAACTCAAAAARGCTGGCACCCACACGCCATAAATACTAAATCAAATGTGTATTCAACCTTACAAACTTTCCGGGATTAGCTGTAGAACATTTCTCCGAAAATAAATCCACTTTGATCACCATATCTATAGCTGTTATAATAAATGATTGTTTACCACCAAGCCACGATTCTCTTTTCCATTACACACATCGTTAGCAGAATACTCAGAATAGTGGATTTTCTTAAAACCTAAATGTCTTAGCTCCCAAAATGGTAGGTCAAAATTTAAAAGGAAAATCTTAAAATGGTAGACTTAATGATAGATTACACTTGACGTAATCATATGCCATAGAAATATGATAGAATGCACTATTAATGCCTATAGTGAAAAGAAGCACGACTCGGCTGGATGCCGGCCATATTTAAAACACTATATGTAGATGATTTTTTAATATATTTTTTAAGTTTTCCATCTTTTGAAGGCTTCAAAGAGAGAATGACTCTTGRCTCTTCATGCCAAGTTGAAAGAAAGAGATCTTTGAGGGAAAGGGCGGGAAAAGGACTCAACAAAATCAAAAAGAGAGTAGACGAAGTTTTGATTTTGGGAGGGAGCGGTTTGCATTAAGGGTGTGCAGTGTGGTGTCAAACCGTACTATCTATTTAGCCACAAACTGGCTCCACAAAACCGCACARAGATGTAATAATGCTACAATAGCCYAAAAGTCTGACTTTAATGTATAGATCTCAATGATAATATGCCTAGTGCAAGGGCGSTAGAACTGAAATTATGACTTATAAGATCCAAAAATTGCAGCGGTAATAAATTCAGCAACAACCGCTTGAGTAACGATCATTTGGATGAATTTCKTAAAATCAAGTGCTTTTTAGTGTCTAAGAGGACATTTCAGTGTATATTTCAGATAAGTAAAACTTTACAATTTATTATCGACTATCTTATGTTGGATARATTAAGCAATTTTTGGATCTTATAAGTCATAGTTTCAGTTCTAGCGCCCTTTCCTAGTGTTGGTCTTAAATGGAGTTTAGTCACTCTGAAACATCAGAAACTAAACAGTCATTTTCGCATCTCAGTTTCTCAATTACGATGCAGATACACTGTGAAATTTYCACTATGCAACTTGCAATACCACCAAGATAAGCTGGGAGCAAGAATCAAGATGGCGGACATTTGAAATGAGAAACTATGCATGCAAAAATTCTCATTGGTGCAATAAGTCTCTGCAATGCGCAGCGAATGGTTGTACTTTATTCGTGCAGCGCTACATGTAATAAAAAAAATGGTGAAAGGCGATTCCTATTAATCTTTGCATTTCTTCTGCAACTTGTGTTGCAACAGTGTAAGGGCAAATTTAAWACCGATTTACACGATGCGCTTTGTCAACAAATGGGAGCTGTCATTAGAGACATCCCATTACTACCGTGTCTAAGGCTTATGCTAAGGTTTCCTTGATATCAKGCTTATCTTATATGCATGTAACAGGCTTATATGATTTTACAAGCCTATTGGTCAGTTGTCGTAATTCTAACATGATATTGATTCGATATTTTGATTCTATTTTCCTGGATATATATATGACAAAAACATCATTCATGAGCGCTTTTTAGCGTCTATATAGCTTTGTCTCCTGCAAAGTCCAATGTTTTAGGCTATTTATTATACTGAAGTCACTACTCAGTCCAGGGTTCAATATACACAGTATATCTGTAAATACCGACGTCGACCGATAAAGACGTGATTCATAACCAATACGTCGAAGATCACAAGCTAATTGGCCACATGTTGGCAACGCCCATACGTGTACTTTTTATGGTACAGAAGCCCTTTGTTTAGAAGTAAGTGACGGATGTGTTTTGAGATTTTTAGCTTTCTTTCAAGTCGTCTTCCCTTGAGCTTTTTTCCTTTGGCATTTGATTTACAGAAGAGCTTTTTTGAGCATGCRCAGGTAAAATCAGCATTCTTAAAAAAAGATAAATGTTAAGMAAATGTAAGAATGGAACGAAATCACTGAGATATTAGGATTTGCACTTCAACATAAGTATTGAGGACGTGCACGTGTTCATAAGATGTTTTACATTTAAGAAGGGATGAGCACATCTTTACTTCGAGGGCATTTTCAGTACTAATTTAAGAACCCCTTCGAGATATGATCATTTTTATCATATATGATTATTAAGATTATTAAGTCAATTTTATSCATTTTACCTTTGTGACGCATGGCTGACCCCTTTTAAGGATGTTTYTGCAAACTCCAATTTTCTTTAAACAACATTTGCCATCTCCACAATCTTTATCWCTTCTGCAGTTGAAATATGGCGGATCAAATGTAACAATCTTTGGTATACATGCCCCTGTTGCACGACGGGACTGTTTTTGAAAGCATCCTAATCCATCTGTACATTTGCKCTTATGCCGCGCTACAACTTTTACCTGTCCAAAGATATGGTAGCAGAACTCAGTTATCCTACAGTCGGARTCAWTYCTACAMGAGTWTTTCTTCTTKGGTGGCGAAGGCATACGTGACTGAATTGACTTTGTAACCGCACGCATTTTAAAGCAAATATTTGTCATGTTGTGGCAATAGTAACCGGCTTTACAGTCTGTATCGGTGGAACATGCAAACCTTGACTGCGATGTTGTAGTATTGACTGATGAAATATTGGGCTTCATCAAACACATCTTGAAAATTGTGTGACAATATTGCTGTACTGCGCAGTTAGAATCGTTTTTGCAGGAGATGGCACTGGATTTTGTGGTAACGAGAGTTGGTATTGCAAGTATATCAAGACATGTTTTGAATTGTTGGTGACAGTATTTGCTGGCCTGACAGTCAGAGTCGTTGAAGCATTTGAGAGCAGTTGGCTTCCGACTGTTTCGTATTGCTGGAGCCGTGAGAATGGGAAGACATCTGRCAAATATGGGATGACAGTATTCGTTGTTGAGACAATTGCAGGGTGATTGATTCCTGGTCGTTGTTGCTGATACTTTTGATTGCAAATTTATGCAAAATTTAAAAATTGCATGACATGATGCTAAAGGGCTGTTACAGTCGCCATCTTGCTTGCACTTGATGAGCTGAAAGTAGAGCATTTYGCAAATTCGTCRTTAAATCTAAAAGTGGCATCGATAGAATCGAATTGTCAGTCATGTTAAAAACCGTGAATTTCGACTTCTTCCAAAACTTCATGCTAAAATGATTATGTCCTAACTTTCAGAAATCGGCGAAAACAACTTTGGAAGCCATAAAAAAAACTTTGATTAGATCGTAATAAGAAAATATATACCCTGTATTTTCACTAGTGAAAATTATATAACACATTCAAGGTTTTTCTATATATTGGAAGTAAGAAAAAGATATTTTACGTCATAATTTACTCCCATATATATAATTATTTGATAAACAGAATATTACATGGTCGCTTTGGGATAAGAATTTTATCTTCTMTTATCTTCTAAAGCCAGATATTCCAAACCCGAATGAGGTACAATGGAAGTCTTCTGACAACTGAACAGCGTCGGTCGRAGTCTAATCTCCCAGGAAGACCCCGGAGGCAGACCACGCAGTGAAAAAGCGAACCCTTGTTCGCAAAGTAAAAAGGGTGCGACAAACTTATGTTTGTAAAGTGTACTTACTTATAGTTKGGAGAATTTAGGACTTATTTATAATTATTTGAATGATAAATTGATATCAACAAACTTGAGTTTAGAACGCTGAGAACATCATGTCGTGCAAAATATCGCAGAGTAAGAAAATACTGCAGGGGCGCATTTAGAAACTAGTCAGATTTTTCCCAAAAATGAAATAATAAGCGATACTTTAAATGGAATTATACAAACGAAAAGAATTAGAGAGTATTTTACCGTGTAGCTGACATTRTGATCGCTTTGACCGCCATGCATTTTTTAAAAGTTTACGACAGGAAACCTACATTGAATTCCTRKAATATAATCATCTTTGCCTTGTGGGAGGGGAGCCATCTATATCGTTTGCTACCGTATGCCTATCTCGAGCCCAGAGTCTGTCTGGTACTCTGACASCGGACTAGCGCGTGAGCAGTGAACTAGTGCAAAATGACGTAAGCAGTGGTTCACACAGGTATCCTGATTGCTGAAATCAGCCAATCAGAATCGAGCTTTGGTTTGTACGAGGGAGGGGTAGGAGCTAGCCAGACACTGTCTGAAACTAGTAGAAACCAGTGATTACCCTACCMTGGTAAGGCTATTCAGTCTATATTTAGTCTATTTATAGCAAAAGTTCGTGCCATTCAGTTTAGCAAAGATTTTGAAATAATTGGCTAGAAATGATTACCTATAACAACACAAACTGAGCAAATGGAAAAAGATCGAGGCCAGAAATACTACTGATGGATTTTTGCTGACCCACCCTTCTCCTTAGGCATGATTTCCCTTCTCCCCCCCGCCCCT